GTAGAGAAAAACAACATTGTGCAAAAGTTTTAGCAGAAGTGCAAGAGTCTATTACACATTCCAGTCTCCAGGAAAAGCTTTGCCTGAAGTTTGTTCAATTTTCGTCCTTAAGGCCCTTTAAGTTTGGAAGATTGAGGGACCAGGAAATTTGTTATCAAAATAAAGTAAAAAAAAAGTCTTTGCATTGAAGAAAGAGAGGCAGTGGTCCTGGAGAAAGAAATACATGAAGTTGCACTTGCTTTGAAATGTTTGTTCTGTTTCTGGACATTATAATTGGTGTATTATGCTACACTCTCAGTGCTAGGGGAGGAAGGCCCAGGACTATTTTCTAGATGTGATTCCTTCTTTTATTTCCCCCTTCCAGAATATCTGACAGTTTATGCAATCTTGAACCCCTGCTAATAATGCATTCATGTAATAATAAGCACATTCTAAAATAAATAAATAAAGTTATTGTTTCAGAGTATTTTCTTGAACCGTAGGGGTGGGTTGTCCTTGGCAGAAGCATGGTGGAAATGTGCAACAGAAAGGGCAAGGCTGGAGGACTTTGTGGAGCGGTTTGCATAGCACTCGACCTCTAGTTATTGACTGAAATCCAAAAGTACTTTTTGCATGCTTGCTCCTGGTACTCTGGCCAAATTCTAATTTAGTATTAGAATTTTATATGATGCCTGTCTAATAGGCATTATCTTGATATTATAATCACACCTAAGCTGTACTTTATAATGTATAATGTAAAAAGGTGGTATTGCTGAAGAGCATATAGTCTAAAGAAGAGACAAGAACAAAGTGTGAGGGAAGAAGTTAGAGATGTGAGACAAAAGGTCTCGAACACTAAAAAGTTAGGAGAATAATTACTGATGATTTTTTTTTTTTACCACTATAAATGTAACTAAGATACAGTTGCTGCCACTTTTCTTTTTCTAAACTGCTAATACTGCATTTTACTGCAAATGTGGCTGCACAGCCTGGTGTGAAAAAGGTAGATCTGCATGATAAATCTCTAGAAACATGTGCTTTGCCAAAGGCCATGCAGCAAGTCAGCTTCGATGTTGGGAGCTGAGGCCATCACCAGCCTTCTGCTCTGATGCCCAATTCTGCCCTGGTTGTAAAATCTGTATAGACTCACAAATACTAGAAAGAAAAGGAAAAGTCATTTTTATCAAGCACAGAAGAATATGCCTTAAATTCCTGAATGTTGCCTTAGAAACAAGATTTTAGTCCCCAACTTTCAAAGCAGATGCTCCTGCTGTTTATGGGACTTATTCTTGTTCAGAAGCTAATCTAGTGCTGACAGCTGGGAGGAAGCAGTTGGGTGCTTGCCGTGTGATTTCTGTGAGCTCCAGCAAGTTTTCAGACATACATTACCCAACACAGTACTGTAAGAGTGATTAAATGATTAAAACAGGCACGACATGACAGAGTGCTATTTTGAGGTATGGAAACGGCCTTGCCATGGATGTTTGGAGAAAGCTGGATCATTTTGATCTGTTTTCTTTCAGATTGACATGACGATTTAGCATTCTGGTTGAGAATTTTTGCAGCATAATTGTGTTTTTGGTTAGAAGCGATGATAGATATGGAACTGGGATATCACCGCCTACTTCTGGTTTTCTCTAGGGCTGTTTCTTCAGCTTGATTTTACTAATCTAAGCTGCAGCTGGAAATGAATCTCAGATGTCTACAAGCTAATAAAGTCAACGAAAACGTTCTTGATGGGATTTTAATATTGGCACACCTTGTATTCATAAATACTATCCTGGGAGAATTAAAATAAGTGCCAGGAGGTTGTCTATAAAATAATCCAGCTGGATGACTGGATTCTGTCTGTAGATAATGAGTGGTAGCTGCTTAGTCGTAAATTAAAAATGGTGACATTAAAAGACAGACATCCTTGTGAGTGGAAAATGAAAAGGCCAGACAACTTTGGCAATATTGGCACATTATTTGTCAGTTCACAAAAACTGGTAGGATTTTCCTGGATTTGGTGCAGTAAACGGTAGATGATAGACAAATCATCTACTACATGAGCAACAGCCTTGGGTGCAGTATTGGGGACGTGTGTCCATGCGATATTGGAGCCTTGTCAATAGGCAAGATCTGATTGGGAAGAGAGATCAGAGAGCGTTCGTCAGGCTCCAGGGCATGCCAGAGATTATACAAGTTGTGGCTAGGAATAGCACAGGGATATCCTGCCAACCTTCATCACAAAGTCGTCTTTCATCCCCTAACATGTAGCTGAAATAAGGAGCACAGACCATGGATGATGGGAAGGCCTAAAGTTATTCACATCTGACATTAGCTTTTTTATGGATCTAAATATAGCTGCATATATTTTTAGATCTAGATACATATTTGCACATGCATAACTACTGTTGATCAAGACCAGGTTCTGGGTAAGATGAATCCACCCATTTCTTTGCAAAAGCTTCTCCTTTTAAAACTTTTTGATTGGCTTGAGTGATTGCTTTCAATGCAAAGACATCTCACCTCTGCAAAGCAAAAAGCACTAATGAAATGTGCACAAATTTTTCTTCTGCATGGATCATTTGTACATTTTTGTTTATTGGTGGTGCCAGGTGTTTATTCATTGGGTTCTTTAAAACTAAATTGCATCCACTTTCCTTTAGGCAAGTTTTGTTTCTAGGATGTATTTAGAAAGCCTGTGGTCAGAGGCTTTGCAAGCACACTTGTCTTTTAGGTCTTTCAGGTGTGGGCAGATTATTTTTAGTTATTGTTGACATGGTAAAAATAGGAAGTAAAACCTACAGTATATATTTGCCCTTATTTGTTTCTTTTTTCTGTATTTTTTTTCCCCAAATAAGTTTCTGTGGCGGAAATCAAGCATTTCTTCTTAAAATAACTGCATTCTCACCAGGTGCTTCCTATATCCAGAAGTGCTATTTGCCAGTTTCTGCCTGTTAAATAAACACTGTTTTTTTTTTTTTTTATTGGAAACAGTGTGTATTTCAGAGCTCGTTACAAGGAGCTTCCACTGTTCTTGTGGCTACCATGATAAAAGAGGAGGCCTTTGCCTCAAGCCTCTTGGATCCTTGTTCTTGCTCGCTGACAGGTAAATTGCCCATCTATGTTCCAGAAAGTCTCTGCTATCATCTGCAGCTGCAATTTAAAAATGTGGCTGCTCTTTGCTTACAAGGAGCAGATATGTGGAGAAAATTATTTGTAAAGAGTGCATGCCGGTCGGTAAATGTCCGTGTTGCTCATACTCCCTGTCTCCAGCCCCCAGTCCCAATGTGTCTCTGTAAATGAGAATGAGTGGTTAAACCCATCACCCTTAATTTCTCAGGGCTTCCAAACCCACCTGGATGTGACCCTGTGCCCTGATGTACTTTTCTGGGCAGGTGGATTGGACTAGATGTTCCTTAGAGGTCCCTTCCAACCTCAAAAATTCTGTGATTCCCTGATTCTATGACACATACATTTACTGTATTTTTATGGTGAACTCGTGGGAACTTGTGGCTCTGTATAGGATTTCCATTACATTTAAAAGTGCTTATTTTCCTGCAACACTGGCCTACTTTAAGTGATGCAAGCGGCATGAACTCTGCTTTTTCAGTAGTCCGTTGATATCAGTAGAGATCTTTGCTCCTCAGCTTCCAAACTCTTGATGACAGTATAACTACTCATTGCTGTGTTTAAGCAGCTGATCTCAGTTCGAAGTTAATGGTTACTATTTATTACCTACTTAAAAGCTGCATGCAGTATAGCTGGTATGTGCACAAAGTGCTGAGACGACCCAGCATGAAGAACAGACAGTTCCTAGCCAGGTTGTGCAAATGTGTAAATACGTGAATAATTTACCTGCCCTGCAGTTATGAGGACAATTCTGTACTCAGCATGACTAAGTCCTAGGATGGGTGTTAGCATGAGGTTCAACAAAATAAAGCAGGCTCTGCAGCCAGCAGAAACATTTGTGTTCCTGGATAGCTCCATTGTTAAGTTATTGTAGCCGGATGTTGTCTTTTTGGTAAATTATTGGTGCTCTCCGGATTGCTGCAGACTTGGCTGCATCATTTTAGACTCTGAGCCACAGACTGTAGACCAGTCTTGAAGGCTTCATAAACTTCAGGTATGGCTCTTCAGGAGCCTTTTTTAGGTGGGGCTGATCATCTTTTCCGTTTGTGATTCCTCCTTGTCCCACCTCCTTCCCTGGTTCTTTTGGGAACCTGCTCCCTGCTGCCACCACAGCCCTGGCACATTGCCATGAGAGCTAACGTGATGCAGCTGAGGGGCCTGAGCAATGAAGGAGATCACAGCACAACTGAGGCATCTCCCCATCCATGCTGAGTTTGCTATCTCCTCATGGAAGCGCTGCTCCCTGGCAGTTCCCATCCCAGCATGAGTCTACTTAGTAAATGGAGCCGACCTCACTAGTTTGGACAGTAGGAGTAAGATGAGAGAAGGATAGAATCATAGAGTCATTATGGTTGGAAGAGGCCTTTAAAATCATCAAGTCCAACTGTAAACACCTCACCACCATTGCCTGCTAAACCATGTCCTAAGTGCTTCATCTACACGTTTCTTGAACACCACCAGGGACGGTGACTCCACCATTACCTTTTCAGCACTTAAAATTAAGTGTGCTTTTTAGAGAAGGAAAATGCTCCTAGCAGGCCTGCCCATAGCTCAGGTCACATTGATTCAGCAGTTGCTATCAGAGCAGATCGAGCTCTGCACAGCTCCAATTCCCAAGATCCCAAAACATCAGCAACAGCAGTAAGCACCACAGGGCTGCTGAATATCCCCAGCTAGGCTGAATGAGGTATCCAGGGGCTCTGTGGAAACACAGCTATGTTATCTTATACATAACCCCCTTATACCACTGATGAATTCGAGCAGGTACCACCTGAAGGCAGCTCTCCTGCTTGTGCTCCCCAAGCTAGCCGAGGCCGCTCCGTGGTGTGCCACAGACGAGCACTTAGCCACTGCGCTTGGGTGTTTCTCACATGGATGCTCTGCATCTGGCTGGTCAACAGTGAGTCATGAATTCCAGCTATCCGCTTCACGGCTTGGTAGGTCATGCTGAAAAATTACAAAGGAAAAAAAACTGTGACTGCTCGAGATGAATAAAGGGATGAACTGTGGATTTTGTTTTGCAAGGGGTATTTCTCTCCATTCCCCTCTTGCTATTTTGTTCTCTACCTGCCACCCTAATTTCTAGCCTTGCTTGATTTGGGGCATGAACTTTATAGCTCATCCCCACTTATTTCTCTTGGGAGGTTGGGGATTAAGACTTCTTTTCCTGGACTCCTTTAATTTCAACTCTTGCAGACCACAGCTGCAAACTTTCCCAAACACTGTCCTTGAGAGGCTGTTTTGGGTGTCCCACTCAGAGTAGGTGTCATTTGCGGTGCTCCTCAGGGTTTTTCTTCTTTCTTCACTATCTCTGTCCACTCCATTGTCCCCTTGGGCAGTGTGAGTTTTCCAAGACACGCTGTGGCTTTTTCTGACTTTCAAGGAGCTGCTGCTTTTAGCTGAGCTTCTGCTCCACTGATTTCAAGCATCTACGCAACAAGTGTGAGTAGATTTAATCAATAAAGACCTATCTACTCTTCTAACTTACGTTGTCCATAAAAAAAACCCATTCAATCTGTGTGAAAATTATACAATGTAAATAACAGCAACCAGTAGCAAGACACCCCATGTCTCCTCTGTGGAACTGTGCAAGGTGGCGGTGCTGCCAGGTTGCAATGTATGGGCCTTCAGGTTTGTATGTAGACCAAGAAGAAGAAGAAATAGAGTATTATGGGGTCTATATAAATAAGATGTTTTTAAATGAGTGAGACATATAGGAAGTCACTAAATGTGATTAAGAATCTGGGCCAGGGTTCTGAATCTCACAGCTTACTGGATGGTCAGCATGTAGCAGCCTCTGGGAACCTGAATTCTCATGTTTTTCTGGCTTTCAAATGAAAAAACAAGATCTAGCTGGTACAAAATTCACTCTGTTTCAGTTAGTTTCTTAGGTTTGTATTGGTAAGAATGTGCTAGTTTTGACTCTACTTTCTCTGTATTCTGATTTTGTGATTATATGCATGTGTGTGCTGTAGAAGGTGCACTTGCCTTTTTGGCACTTGTCTTTTTGTAATTTTCCTCCATAATGTTACTGCCCTGTAAAATGTGAAAATCATGTAGTAGTTCCAAATGTGTTAATGTTCTAGAAGTGTGCCAAGATGAAATCTCTTCTAAAGACTTGTATTTATAGTACATGTAATGATGGATGGGATTTAAGCACCAAGGAAAACTTTCATAGATTTAAAAAAATATATTTGAATGCTTACACCTATTGGAATTTTCTTTTTATGCGGAAGGTGGATTATGCAAAGCATTTTCTGCAGGCTTATAAATTGTCCTTAATATGTCATAAAATGCCTGTAATTTTGGATCTATACTCCTGCAGACTCTTAGAAGTTGTGATTAAAGTACAGTTGTCACCATGATTTAATGAGATTATCCAGACGATTTCTCCTGTTGCACACACACAGTTGTGCAACACGTTCTGCGCTACCTCGCTGCTGCTCTTTGTCATGGCAGCAGCTGCATTTCACTTATTTCCATACAAAGCAGCAGTATTTCATATTGCAGCAAGTGCACCTGAAACCACTGTGTAAAACAACTTATTTGTTCTGAAATTAGATTTTTTTTTTCCCTCTTACCTAGTTTCCTAGCCAGCCACATGTGAGCCACATTGGGTCAGCCAATGTTTCAGCTGTAAGGCAGGTATTAATTAATTAATACAGAGCACATAAATATTTACATAAATGGGATTTCTCCACCCCATGCTTGTAGATTCAAGAGTAGCTTGGTGTTTCTTGGCATATGCTGTGCAAATGTGAGTAGTCATTAAATAATGGTAAGATATGATAATAATAATAATAGAAAGCTACCTATTTTTCATCCCAGGAGGGTGAAAGAAAACGGCAAATGATTAACTGGTTTTCATGGATGTCAGAAACTGGACCAAATTCCAAAACTCTTTCAGTGACTATTTGTGAAACGGTATTTAAACCATTAACTATGTGGCTTATCTCAGATGGAGTTATGCAATCTGTTTCTCTTACTTCATATTCCTTATCCAAAGGTGGGGGAGGAAAAGGCCTGTTTGCAAAGTAGAATTAGTGCCAGATCTGACTCTGAGCCTCAAAGAAGTTGAAGATTTAAAGAAATAAAAAAATCCTTAATAGATCTGTGTGTTTCTTTTAATTGGTTCCTTGGGACTGAGTCTCATAAGGGATTTGAAAAGGAATGATTTAGGGATATGAGACATTCTCCTGGCTTTTAATACCCCTTTTTATTTTATCTTATCTATAATCAAAATAATCAGGCTTTCATCTTACCTATCATGGAAGCAGTTGAGCATTTTTTAGGAGAACCTCTTTTACTCCAAGAAGAAAAAGCTCTTCCTTTTTGCCCTTTGTAGGCTGGCCACAGATGTCTCACTTCTGCCTTTAGCTCCTGTGGGAGAGACACCCATGTCTTTACCTTGCCCCATCTGGTTAACCAGTTTCTCCAGTACTGCTAAAACAGATTTATAAGAAGAAGTTTTTGGTTTTATTTTTTTTTCCAAAGTATTTGTATGTTCTGCACGCCTAAAATATTTACTTACCTGGGAGACAAAAATATGTCTAAATGCTAAATATTTGTTCATTTCTGACACCCCTCTTAAAAAAAGGATGTTACTGAGCTGACTTAAAATGGTGCAAGTCATTCCTGCCATTTGTGAGTGAACAATATGTACCATTTTCTGCTCAGAAAAGCATTATTTTCTCAAATGGAAGCGCACTTAGCCCCTCCGAGGGGACCTGAGGACAGTGGATATTTTCCAGCAGGTCTGCTGCTGGTGAAGAGAGAAACCTGCCCAGCTTCAGAGATATTTATTACTTGATTTAGGTGCAGCTGAGGGCAATGTTGGTCGGGCCCAATTGTAAATGAGGTGTGCTCAATTGCAAATATGTCACATATGCCACTGAGCCAGTGGCACCATTTGGTTTAGAGACTAGTAGCCATTAATTAAAGAAAATGCCAGTACATCATCACGGATGCTATTTGGAGATGTCCAAGAAAGGGTTTGGCAGTGCTTCATGGCTCAGCGTTTGGCTCCCCATTTCATTTTGTTTCATGTCATTTCATTACTCGAGTATTTTGATGTCTTCTGTGAAAATACTGGAAGCTGCAATAGGATCTTTCTGTCTTTTGCCCGGCAGCTTGTTCTAGAGGGATGACCCCATCTGTGGCAGCCTTTGAGAGCGTCTTGGCCAGGCTACGGCCCTGTGGTGTGTGGGTTTATTGCTTTTCCAGTAAGAGACATTGTGTGAGATTGTTTGGGGGCATAACCAAAGCTGCGTGTTATTATAAAGTGGGGTTTTTCAAAGAATTCCTGCTGAAAAAGAAAGCTCAAAAAAAAAATCCCGTCTCTTCCTCAGCTTTATTGGGAGAGTTTACATGGCTGAGCTACCATCCACTGTTGTCCACGTGAGAGACCACCTCGGATTTTCAAAGTCTGGTTGATCTTCCCTCTTATCTTTACGTCTCATGTTATCCTTGGTGTTTAGCCAACTCATTCTCCCAGCAAATCCAACGAGGCCTTTATAGTAAATTCCAGAGTTGATAAAGTCTTGCTGAGTTTGTGTTGAGATGGGAGAACCTCAGGGCACAGAAATGATGCAACTTTGGTGCAGATAGCAGGGACTTGAAGCTGGTTTGGCTGCAGGAGCAAGACAGAGGTGCTTTTGAGATGCATCCTCATCTCCGTGCTGCCTTCCCTGAAGAATTAGGCTACGATGCAACCGCGGTTATTTGGAACTTCTTCCTCTTGAAAGCAGCATCCCTTTTCCTCTTCTGACATTAAATACAGCGGTGCCTACCTGAGCTCCCGAACTTCCCTGGTGGCCCCGAGCAACTGCCTGGTCGCATCCCGCATCCCGCGCGCGCAACAGCCGGGGCGGCAGCCGGCGCCGGAGCCGCTCGGGGCGCAGAGCGGCGGGTTTGGCTCGCAGCCCACGGCGGGAGGCAGAGCGGCCGCCCGCGCTCCCCGGCGCTCCCGCCATCCCCGCGGCGCCGGAGCCAGAGCCGGAGCCGGAGCCGGAGCTGGAGCCGGGCGCCCGCCCAGCGCCGGGCCCATCTGTTGCAGCCCGGGCTGCGGGAGCCCAGCCCGAGACGAGCGAATAATCTGCCCGCCCATAGGGAAGAAGCCGCCTGTGCGAGGCTCCCATGGACCTCTCCAGCCAGACTGCGGGGTTTTTCCAAGCTGTAAGTCGTCTCGCTTGCCTGGAGCTTTCTCCAGTTTTGATTTTTTTTTTTTTTTAAGAAGGGGCAGGTTTTGCATCCGTTTCCGAAGGGAAGCCCGAGTGCACTGCAGGACTGTGCTGGGAAGCAGGCATTCCTCGGGCTCTGTAAGAAATGCATGCTGCTTGCCTGTTTTGTTTTATTTTTTTTTTTCCCCTCTTGTTTTGTCTCTTTTGCATGCATGGCTGGCACTGTGCTGTTGTCATGTTCTTAGAGCATTTAATTACAGTAGATATTCCAAGGCTGAACAAAATGTTCTTTTATCTAGTTAGAGAATGTAGCTTTTTATTTCCCCTTGCATAACTTTTTGTTAGTGTTTTGGATAGAGAGATTATCTTTTCGGGGTGTTTATTTAATTTCAGTACCAAACCATCTGGTCTCTGCATCCTGCAATGCCTGTTTTCTCTTCCTGATCATCTAAGAGAAGCCTGAACTGCTGAGAAACTAACTGCCAGGGTTAGTTTTGCAACCCTCAAACCCCTTTTTGTTGGAATATTCATTGTTCGGGAGCCTTATTTTGTTATTTGCCTTTATTTTGATATTTGATGAAAAATTATCCAGGTAAACATGCATGCTGCAGGCTTCATGTGCATCTCTCCCATTTTTTCTGCTCTCAGGCTAAATGCTGAGCACATGCCAGTTTGCACTGCAATTAATGGGCCTAATTTATGGGCCTGGGATAATGAATGTCCACGGGGGATGATGTTGACCCTTTCCTAGGGTAGAACTTGAAGCAGCAGGTCTGAAGGTGCCACATTAGTGGGGTGGTGGGAGGAGGCTGGTGAATAGTAATTGGCATCTAATCTAGAGCAAGATAAAAGGTATTTTGCCAGTTCCTGCTTGTTTGGCTTGTTGGTCACTGCTTCTGATAGAAATCCCCCAATTCTGGTGTAGGGCAGGTTGGAAAAGACTGAAATTACCTGCCATGGTCTGAGAGTTCTAGTCCCTGCATGGGGCAAATGGTCCAAATGTGAAATGGGCTGTAAAATAGAGAGGCTGAACTGGCTTAGGGCACCCTTGGGAGCCAAGAGAGATGTGAAGTTGCTGAAACTGGGAGTTTGGAGGCCAAGAGCATCTGTGAGCAGAGGAAATGCCTGGAAAGAGGATGAAACGGGTTGTGTTGACATTGGGACAAACCCTGTTCAAAATGCCGACTCGATCAAAAGGGAGGCAGCAGGAAACCCAGAAGAATGGGATTCGGTTGCACTTTGGTTTTCTCCAGGGCTTACTGAGAGTGCAATAAAAATATATTTATTTTGAATAATATTTGTGCTTTGTTTTGCTTCAGTATCTATTTCAAACTGTGTCTAGGATGTTCTACAGTTATGCAGAAGAAATCAGGCAAGTGAAAAACAACATTTGTGTAAAGCTTTAAAGGTAAACCACAGAACTAGTAGAGATCACCTTGAGCCTGGATTTGCTTCAGGCAGCAAACTGGTTCTCCAGCAGGAAGAGAAAATCCTGGTGTCATTTAGCATGTGTGACCAGCCAAGTAAGTCCAGTGACCAGTTGATTCAGAAGCTAGAAATCCTTAAATCAAAAGGGCTACTGTGGATAATGCTATATATATGTATGTATATACTGCATGTATATATATACATATACACATGCTGTCATTATATATATATACAAACAGTATAATTATATACATTTGCCATATGTATTCCCCTGTATGAGAGCGTGTTCTATATGCAAATTAATACAAATAGGAGTGATTGGTTTTGGTGAGAAAACATCACCAATGTAATTTAAGGGGTGTATTATTTGCATATACTTATTTGTTGGTAGTATAACGAAAGCAGAAAGCCAAACAAGAGCAACAAATGCTCTTGGTCTCAAGCTCACCTGCTCCTGGGTTTAATTCCCCTGAGAAAACGCTGCTTTGCTTCTCCTGGGTTTGTTCCCTGCTTGGGGGATGGTTTCTTTCCAATGAGGTGCTTGGAGACTGTTATTAAAGAAGCCAGAAGTAAACATGGCTGTTTAGTACTTACTGAACCAGGGAGAATTTCTGGGGAAATAAAATCAAAACAGTGTATACCAATAAAAGCTAAGGTCCTTGAAAGAAGCCTATTGGGGAACTACCTGCTTTAAGATTTTAGTATCACATGTATGGTGCTTGGAAAGAGCTGAATGCGTGTCATTCCTGACCTTCCCCTTTCCATGCAGGAATTATTTCCAAGCTGGTCCACTGTGGAAAGTCTTCCTCGGGTGGTTGTGGCAAGGGAGCAGGGTGGATCCTGCCATTGCAGGATCTCTTAAGTGCAGATGTAAAGTTATTCTGGACTGGATTCGGAGCTTGTAAAGCAGCTTGGATTCCATAGGGTGAAAGATGTAGCATAGTGTATTAGTTTTGCATGGCAGTACTAACTGGGAAAAAATAAATCATAAAGGCACCACTTTTATTCTCTGCAACTCTCAGCATCTCTTGAGTTGAAGCCCAGGGTGGGAGCCAAAGGACCTACAAGCTGAATTTAAGGCTGAGCCTTGTACTGTGACTGAGACATTTTTTTTTCTAGATTGTCTCTGAGAATTTGATCTTTCCTCTGTCCTTGAGGATTCTTTTATATTGTCAGCCTCAGCAAAATGTACATATAAATGGAAAGATCCATGCGGAAAACTAGGGAGGAATTTATAATGGCAAGGAACTCTTTAGGGAAATAAAACATAAATATAGTCCAGCCTGTGAAAGACAAAGAGAGATGCTTTGTATGTGGTGCTAAAACTGTAAGCAGAGCTATAGCAAAGCATCTGTAACCTTTGCAGGCATGAAATTGTTTTCTGTAGCTGCAGTGACATAGCAGAAATGCATGAAGCGAGGAGCTGTCCTCACCACGTGCTTCGTGGATCCTCTCCTGTGAGCTCCTGTCCAGCTCTTCAGCTCGCCAAGCACAGAGCTGGTCTGTTCTTTGTCTCGCCTAGTTGTTCTTTTGCTTCTAACTGAAAAGCATGGAAAGAGAAAACCGCAAGCAATGGTCTTCCTAAATGAGGGGCCCTGGAAGAACAGCTCCAGTCCGTGTATCTGCAGTAGAGTTTCTGCCTGGTGTGAACTTCACCTTTTTTAGTTATAATTATGCAAGGCAGAAGGCAACAAGTCTT